CCGGGATGGCGCGGAATCGGCCGTGGTTGGGACAACCCAAGTCGCCGCGAGGTGGCAGCGCAGTCCCACACAATGCAGCCCCAAGACCAGGCAGCCGAGACTGGGGTTCACCCGTGGCAATGTCGGGGGCACCCCACCTGGTGCTGCTGAGGTTCACTGGGGCCGTAAGGGGAGAGGACACTCTAGTCAACGCCAGGCCACCCCACTTGATTCACCACAGGCCACGCTGTTGATGTTAAGGAGTTAAGAGTGGATGATAGTGGACAGAGAGGGACCCCATGCCTTGACGATGGGAACCCGTTCCCAGGGTGGCCTGGCTGGCGTGGGAGCTCGGGGCCACGGTGCCTGGTGCAGGAGGGTGTTTGGAGCCCTTTTGTTGGGCGCTAACCTCCGCTTGCTGCCTCTGTAGCTCAGAATCCTTTGAAGGTATGGGTGTAGGAGTGGCCGCGAGGCGGCAGTAGAGACTCACAAATCAGGGCCACGGCAACCGCGGCAGGGTCCACTATTGACCAATGAGCTGGAGTATGCCTGAGTATGCCCATAGCCACGTCTGGAGGCTTCCACACAAAGGTGGACTTACCCACAGCAACTGCAGGGAACTGTGAGAAGCGAGCACCCAGTTCGCTATGGAAGGGTGACGGCCATGGGTCTGCCCAGGGTACTTCAGCCCCTCCATACACCTGAAGCCCTGCTGCATGGCCAGGTGTGGTCAGCTCAGAGTCCTTGGCCCTGGCGTCCCAGCCACATCCCCCAGAGCTGTGCCACTTTTGTCTCCAACACCCTTGGCTTGGTTGGGCAAACCTGATGGACAATAGAGAGTCCAAGGGGGCAGGGTGACCAGAATGGCCAGGGAGTGTGGAAGCCCTCCTCTCTGCATTCTGTCATTGAGTCGTGGTGACCGAGATCAGCTGGAGGGGCAGGACAGGGCTGAGGCTGCCACGTACGTGGCTTCTCACCAGATAGTGCCCACAAAATGTGGATGGCCACATAGTGTGTACAGACCACTGGGAAGGGGGCCTTCGGTGCCCTAACCAGCTGTCCCATGGAGGCCACTGTGACCAGAACTAGTTCTGTCACCCAGATGGACCTCAGTGGGGAGTCAGCCAGGGCCCACCAGAGCCTTGCTCGCAGCTCTTCTATACAGCTCAGCTGACCTGACCCCTGCCGGAACCTCCTCGAAGTGCTCAGAGCCCCTCATGACCTCCCGCTCTCGCCCCTAGGACCCCTCGAGTGGACAAGAGGTCTGGCCACAGTGGTGGAAGAAGGTGGCTGGGTTCCGTTCGAGTTCCCAGGGACTCCAGCCAGGACCCTGGCCTCAGACAGTGCTCACCCAGCACGGGCAGCGCAGGGTTCAGGGAGCGCCGTTCCATGAGGGGAGCCAACAGTTCTTGACCCAGAGGGGGACGTTTGGGTACAATGCCAGGCCCTGTCTAAAGGATGCCAAAGGAGGGGTGCGGGGAGGCTGTCTTTGGAGAATTCCAGGACGGGTGTGGGGTGAGAGGAACGTGCGCTGGAACGGACCAGGGTGGAGGTGGGCCCTGCGGGGGCCCCGACACGGCCCGCTCTGATTGGCTGGCAGGGCAGGGGCGGGAATTCTGGGCGGGGCCACCCCAGTTAGAAAAAGCCCGGGCTAGGGGCCGAAGAGCAGGGTGAGGGAGGGGGGTGGGGAGGGTGGGGGGTGGGGTGGGGACGGGGAAACTGGGGAAGATGGGGTGCCGGAGGAGAGTCGTGGGGGCCAAGGAGCACCTTGGCTGTCTGGAGTCTGGCGGGAGTGGGGAAGGATTGAGGGGCTAGCTCAGGCAGCCGGGGCGGTGGGGCCTGGGAGCCCACGAGGAGAAGGGTGGGCTCCCAGGGAAGCAGGGCAACATCGGCAGGGGCGCTGGGCCTGAGCTAGGGCTGGAGAGGAGGGGAGCCAGACATTCATCCCGGGAACTTTTGGTTTCAGGACGTGGCGGCTGGTCGGACAAGGGGAAGCTGCTGGGCAGGGCTCGACCCCAAACCTGGGCAGTGGAGGTGTAGCTGGCAGCAGTGGGCAGGTGAGGACCGCCATCTGCCGGGCAGGTGAGTCCACTTCCCTCCCTGGGCCTCACTGTGCTGGCCTTCTAGAAGGTTGGAGAGCGAGGACCTGCAAGGAGAAGTGGCTGTCCTCCCGGCAGAGCGGCAGGAGGAAGGCAGGATGGTAGGCACAGGTGACATCTTCTCGGGGGGAGCCGAGACGGAGAGAGACTGGGGGGCCCAGGGTCCATTCCAGGTGGAAAGAGCATTTTGAATGGGTAGGATAGAGAAGGGCAGGGCTGCCAGCGAGGACCGAGGCTGCTGCCTCCAGGGAGGTGACAGGTGACCTGGGGGTGGTAGTGGAGTCTGTGGGAATCCATCTAGTACTGTGGAAGTATCCCAGGTCCAGGTCGGGCAGAGCGAGGTGGGGTCACAGGATACAGAGGGGTCCCCAGCCGCCACCACATCCCACCCACCGTAATTCATCTAGGAGAAGGTACAGAAGCGGCTCTGGCGGGTCTCCCGAGGCCTGTGCCAGAGCCTCGAAGGCTGGAGAGCGGGAAAGAAGGGCAGTGCGCGGGCAGCACAGAAGGACGTCACCTGGGGGGAGCGGTGGTCGTGGGTGGCGGGCTCCGGAGAGATATCGCAGCAAGGAGGCTGCAGCGGGCCCAGCCTGCGGATGCACCGTTCCCACGCGGCACTGCGGCCCAGAGGCTGGCGCGGAGAGGGCCCACAGTGGACTTGGTGACACTGTATGCCCTAACCGCTCAGCCGCTGGGTCTGGCATGGCAGACAGGACAGCACCAGGGGAGCCAAGGGCATGGGCAAGGCCAGACAAGGCGAGACGGGCGGGGTAGAGCGAGTGAGCTCTCTAAGGGGGGAGTCGGGGCAGGCAGGTGAGGGGCCACCAGGCGGCGAGCCAACGAGGCACTGGCCTCCAGAGCCCGTGGCCAAGGCGGGCATCACGGGCAGCGACGGAGCAGTGATCGGTGCCTTCAAGCTCAGGACTGGAGACAAGGGTAAGTGCCCAGCCCCGTCTGCTTCCCTGCTGCCCACCAGATCCTCCTTATCCAACCAGCACCCTCTGTTCTCCCCAAAGACAGGTCTCCAGCAGGGGTGCACACGCCAGCCCCCGAAGGCCAGGACGCCAGGCGCAGGGATGTACTGGAAAGACATGACATGGTCCGGTGTGATGGCGAGGACAGAGGGACTGCCGTCCGGCCTTCGTGGTGAGAATGTCCCTCTGCCCGCTACAGAGTCCAGCCCAGACGACCCTCACAGACACCCTCTTGCTCATGCCCAGCTCTGTCCTCTACAGAACACTCTGGCTGGCACCGCGGGGGAGGCTGCCACAGAAGGGTCTGGTCCTTTGCTTTTCCGAAAGAGTTAACACACCACTGCTGCTCTCTGGACCCCCTAGAACCCTCAAGAAATAAAGGTGAGGGTCTCCTCTGGCACATGGGCAGGGCGGGGCAGGCCAGGAGCTGGGGCCTCATTCTGTCTCCATTGCAGAAATGGTGCTACCCAGCTCACGTCTGGGCCTTCAACTCTGGGGACTTCTTCAAGTCCGTCTAGCTCTGGATCAAGAATATGCTGCGTTTGGGAACCACTGCATACCTGACTCAGGAATCGGCTCTGTAGGTGAGCTTGGAGCCCCTCGGGAAGCGCCCCGCCCCCCCTCCCCACCCCACCCCCCCTCCTCACCCCACCCCCCTCCTGCCCCCCTCCCACCCCACCCCCCCTCCTCACCCCACCCCCCTCCTGCCCCCCCTCCCCACCCCGGCCCCCCACCCACATGTTTTGTCACTCTCCACAGGTGAAGCCGAAGGACCAGGCCTGTGAACACCAAGGCAGAACAGACCCGCAGCACCCGCCGCCAAACCCCATCCTCGTGGCCACCCCACTGCGCCCAGCGGACCATCAGCACGCCTCCCTCTGCTTTTCTTCTTCCTCCTTCCCTCCAACCTTGTGTTTCTGTCTTTCTTCCTTCCGTCGTTTGAGAGATTCAAAGCATCCGTGACTCTGTTTCCCCACCCGTCCCTTCTGATTTCAATTTGCACTAAGTCGTTTGCACTGGTTTGGAGCTCGGGAGAGCCTTGAGTCTCTCTGTGCGCGTGTGCGTGAGTGTGCGGGCCTCCTTGGCCACGCCGCCCCAGCGCCTGCCTGCTGTCCACCTCTGCCTGGGGGCGCCTGGGCGCCGGCCGCGTGCTTGAGGCCTCGCCCCCCCCTCACCTTGTCTGGAAGCTCCACCACAGCGAGCCACCTCAAAGCATTCCTCACACCACCTTGCCCAGTGCCCCTCCCCACCAGGGCTCACCAGAGTCCTGGCCTCATCAATAAACACAGTTACAGCAACTTGTCTCAGGGACTGGAATCTGAGCTGTCTGCCTCGGGGCGCGCCGCGGGCTGGGGGATGTGGGAGGGAGGGGAGGTGCCCAGAGGGACATGAGGGTTCTGGGGTGGGGAGGGGGAAAAGATGGGGGTTATAGGATGGGGCACACATCTGGAAGAGGGTTACGGGGTAGGGAGGGGCTGTGGGCCACAGGGGCTGTGGGGTAGGGAGGGGCTGTGGGGTGGGGAGGGGTCATGAGAAGAGGAGGGGCCGTGGAATGGGGTGACTGGCTGAGGAAGTGAGTTATGGGAAGGGGGGGGCGAGGGAATGAAACCAGGAGGGCCTAGGGATGGAAGGAGCACCGAGGGGAGGGGCGCAGGGGAAGCCAAGGGGGTTATGATACAGAAGGGTCCCCTGGTGAGGTGGGGTCTGTGGACACTGGGGGCCTGGGGGGACAGAGGAGCGGACACACCAGGGGTGGTGGGGGCTGGGATGGCAAGGGGTGTCCTGGGCCATGAGGGAGAGRTCAGACCCCACTCCAGTGCCTCTGGCTGTCCAGCGCTCCAGGTCTCCGTGGCCACCCGTCCTGTGTGATCTGGTCCTGGGTGCCGGGCCAGACCCCAAAGGTCAATGGAGGTTTGAAGAACCACATTGCAGGGACGGATTTCAGGGTGGACACCAGCTCTGGGAGCAGGGCTGGCCCTGGCCACTCGCACAGGTCCACGACAGCCTCTGGGTTTCCTGCCCCACCTGGCTCCTCTGCCCTGGGTCCTACTCGCTGGGGAGCTGGGGCCTGGGTAGACTGGGGGTACCCCATCTTCTCACTTGCTGTGAGAGGGAGTTGGGGGGACCAGGACACACACAGGTCTGAGCATGGCCACAGAGAGGGAGGGTACCAAAGAGATCCAAGGAGACTTGAGGGAGGCAGAGAGGTCAAGGGAAGAGAGGAGGAGGGAGAGGGGTCTGGGTGACCGAGGGCCATTATTGGGGTCTTGCTCCTGGGTGAGAGTGGAGCCCCCTGTGAGAGACCCCAAGGCTGGGCAGCACCCTGCTGAGCCCCAGGCCAGGCTTCCTGGCTCCTGGTTGGAGTGTACAGACCCTAGGAACTAAGATGAAGCTCCCGAAAACGAGACTGGGGTCTTGGGCCCTGTTTTCCTCCCACCAGGGGCAATGCTCAGCGCAGTCAGGAAGGAGCCTCCACAGATTGACAAGAACCAGACCCGGAACCGGGAACTCCCTCCCCTCCCCCACAGGCCCCGCAGACAGGGACCCGTCTGACTCCTCACAGGCCCTCACCATGCCCCTCGCCACCCCTGCCCCACCACCCATCTGAGGCCCTAGTTCAGACCAGTGGTGACCCACTGGGCACAGTTGGGTGAGAGAGTCTCTTGAAGCTGTCTCTCTCCATGAGGATTTCAAAGGCCAGCCGGCTGTGCGGGGTAAGCCACCTCCACCTTCCTGACCTCATGGCAGTGACTTGACCAAGTGACAAAGTAGCCATCCATCACGTGTGGGGAGGGAGGTCTCCACAGGCCTTTAGGGTAAACATCCGACCTGCTCGAGGTTCCCAAAGCGGGGCTCCGAAGATGAAAGCCAGCCCTCTGAAGAACGGCTGGTGGGCACTGCAGGTGGCCCAGGGGTTGGGGGGCAGTGGGGTCACAGGCTGTGGAGGTGGGGAGGAGATGTCAGCCCAGCAGCCTAGGGACACAGAAATCAAATCCCAGACGCGGAAGGGAACTGGGCCGTGTCCTGGTCATCTGGAGAGCCAGCCACGCTGGAACCCAGCTGCGTCCAGGCTTGGGACCCTCAGGGTGGCTGTGAAGGGCACATTCTCACCCTGGGCTTTCCCCAGGGAGTTCTCAGACAAAGTTGGGGGAAGAGCTTGCGCAGACTTTGGGAGAGTGGAGTGCTCCTTCTCTTGCCCACCCAGGGGAGCCGCTGGCCCTCAGCACCCCCAACTGTCGCACTCCCCCCGCTGTGGGCGTCTGCCCCTGTGAATGCCGAGGGTGGGGCAGGGTGACCTGGGCCTGTCCACACAGTCCCTCCTTCTGCAGTGGGCTTCGAGCTGGACCTGGGACAGAATCCAGTGGAGCCCCTGGAGTGCCAGGGCCTGGGGAGCAGGAAGGAGCTCATGGGGGCAGGATCTGGCGATGCAGACAGGCCAAGGCACAGTTACTCTGAAAACAGGTGCGTGGGGGTCCAGCCTCAAGCCTCGCCCCGGGTGGGGGCTGGGAAAACAGAGGTGGCCCAGCCCCCGCCCCAACAGAGCCCCTCCATCTGAGCTGGGGACCGCCAGGTTGGAATGTGTTTACCTTTGGCCCAACCGATTTCCTGCTTTTTAGAAAAGGGGCTTAGAGAGGGCTGTTAGACAGGCTCCTGGCGCCCCCGCCACCCAAAGGCACTTTCAGAATGCTCCTAGGCTGAGCTGAGTGCAGAGAAGCAAACAGGGGCTTGAATTTCATCCCCAAACCCCAGCAGGGGGTGGGTGGGGAGGGGCGGCTGCAGCGGTGCCAGAAAACCTTGGGAAAGAGGTTTCGAGGTTTCAAGCTCCCGAGAGCCTCTACACATGCCCCTGGGGGCCCCTGCACACCCACCCCCATAGGCACCCAGGGTAGGCTGCAGGGTCTTCACACTTGGCCCCCTCCTGCTGGTGTTGCTGTCCCTTGTCCCGCCAGAGAGAAGGGGGATCATTTCACACAGTGGGGTCACGCCTGCCGCGCCAGACGCCGCTGCCTGTGTTGGCATCTCTAACCCTGTGCTCCAGGGCCACGCACCCCTCCCTGTCCTCTGTCCTGTGTGTGCCCACAGCTGTGGCCCTGTGGGGTGAGGTCTCTGCAGGCGTTTAATGATCTGGGCAGGAATCATAGACCACAGTGTGGGGCAGGGGCAGGTCGCTCACTGTATCACGGAGGACAAAATTCCAGCATGGCAAAGGAAACAGAATCCTTTAAACAGGACTAAGGGGACCTTTGGAGTCTGACTACAACAGGCCCGCCCTRAGAAGTCTCCAAACACTGAGGTCGGTGCCTGAGAAGACAAAGATCTCTCTGGGGGAGGGGCATCCAAGTGCTCAGAACTGGGGGCAGTAGATCCAGTCTGGAGGMCCCCACAGCCCTCTCCAGCAAGGAAGGCCAGGAGGGCTCCGCTGCTGGTCAGTACCGACCCAAAGCTGGGTCTAGGCTCRGGGCACTGTATCTCTGCAGCCTGCTCTTTCCTTCTGCAGCAGACCAGGCCTCTATGTGCATGATTGCAGGCGCATGTGGTGCCTGACAAGCCCCGAGAGACTGGGCCTTCTCAAAGACTGTGTAAACCCCCCCAAAGGGGAAATGGAACATTCTAGAAAGAACTGTGGTCGGCTTTGGTCTCTGCAAGGCTGTAGTAACCATGCTGGTGAAGCCCAGTCCTGCCCACCCTCTCCCCCTCCCTCTCCTCTCCTCAATTTTCTCCTCCTCCCCCTCTCTGTGCATAGCTCCCCCAGCCTGCTCCTGGTGACACTGTTGGCCCCTTTCCAGGGCTGAGGGGAACTGGTGGGGGCCCCTTCCTGGAAGCCCACCTGCAGGCCGGCTTGCTGGGAAGGGGCCTGCTCTCCCTGGCGGCTCCCCCCGCCCGCAGCCATTTCCTGGAAGCAGTCACTGTGGGTATTCTGCTCCTTGTCAGCGCCCAGCCTGCAAATAAAGCAGACACTGTGCTCCTTGTCCTGGGGGAGCCCCACTCCATCACCCCACACCTGGCTGGACACAGGCAGGCAGCCTGTCCGCGGGGAGTGGTGCAGGGCGGGGGCTAGACCCATCAACCCAGGGCCAGAGGCTCCTTCCCCCTCTGCTGCCCCGCAGGACACCTCTGTGCCAGCACGTGCCAAGCCCCAGGGCACCACAACTAGCTGTGGGGACTGTGCCCCCAAAATGGGGCCCTGTGCAGACCCCAGCGAGAAGCTGGCAGGGCCACAGGGGAGGAAGGCCGCGGGCCCCACGCTTTGCAGAAGCAACTTCTGCCTGGATGGAAGATTCCAGAGGAGACCCCAGAGCTGAGGCTGCACGGGGAGGAGACTTGGGGGGTGGGGGGCTGGGCAGAAGCCTGTGCTGGAGTTGGAGGGAAGAGAGGTTGCTGGGCCCTGGAGGGTCCGGCTGGGGTCTGGCGGGTTCCTGGGGGGCAGGGAAATGAAGGCCGAAGATGGCTTGGAGGCCGAGGAACAGGCTGGCTCCAACAGAAAGGGGGACCCAGAGCTGCCCAAGCCCTGGCCCTTCCTGGGTGAGCTCCCACTGTGCTTCCCACTGGTGGGAAGGCGCCCAGCAGGGCGTGTGGCCAGCTCTGGGAGCACAGGCTGTGGGCTCCAGGCTGCCAAGAGACAGATGAAAGAGAGAGGACCCAGGTGTGACCACAGGGAGCCGCAGCACCCAGGTGGGATCCTCGAGTGGGGGTGACCGGTGGGGCTAAGAGTTGGGGGTCAGAAGTCTGAGGCCCAGATACCTGAGGGAGAACAGGCCCAGGTCATGAGGCCCAGCCGACCTCCAGCCCCAGGGCCCAGACCCCCAGTGCTGGGTCAAGAGCTTGAGGGGAGAGGAGGTGTGGAGATGGG